TATGTACATGCGGTACCAAGGCAGGTTGCTCGGTGACGTATGTACATGCTGTACCAAGGCAGGTTGCTCGGTGACGTATGTACATGCGGTACCAAGGCAGGTTGCTCGGTGACGTACGTACATGCGGTACTTAGGCAGGAAATTCAAGTATCCCCATTGTTGCACTAAGAAGAAAAGTTTTTGTGACACCGTGGGGGTAAATACATTTGTCGCACCAAACGGCTATAAATGGCAAATCGGTAAAATCCAATTATAACATCCAAATGGCCAAGTTCTGCATCGCTCAACTATCGGAGAAGAGTACATTAATAAAAATGTAATATACCCAATTTTTGTTTTTGCGTATACAGCCATTAAAACACACGTCTGTTTCATTTAAGCTGGTATCAATTTGTCTCATATAATAGAATTAAGGTTTTAAATAGTTTTTTTAATAAATAGTGTTTCTATTAACCAGTAAACACCAGTCAGAGATGGTTTTAAAAGCTAGTTAATCAGCAGATAGAAGCTGCCACACACACCACATTCATGGGCTGGCAAGTGAATGAAGGTAACTGGCCATACAGTCTTCATATTTTACTTCAAAAGCACAATGTATACCATGGTATGATGTTAGGCAGATAGCGATTGTAGTGTTTTAGGATTAAAGTATCTATCGAAATGTATTTTTGAATAGAAATTGAAATGCCATGGGTGATACCTTACTTTTAGACTATACGTACCATATTAAGATCTGATGTTATTTTACTATCAGAAACTACGCATCACATTGAAAAACAAATGTTTCAGAAATAAACATACATTACAAATAACTGACACATGTACCTTTGCTTTTTATAATTTGTTCCAAGTACAAAGAACAGTAACGTGCAACTATGCTCCCACCCACAGTTCGGTCAACAGAGGAAGTAATGCATTATTGGTAATAAAAGTTTTATGGCACTCTGCCATTCCTCCGCAGGTGACCATCAGCAAATCATTGTGAAGCATTTGTTGGAATGAAACTGTTAAAATTATATGACAATATTTTTTACTATTAATACCCATGTGTTTATTGAAAATTAAGAGTAAAAAAAAAGTGTCTAACAATGACCACTTCATTTTATTTAATGACCCGTAAAACAATAAAAGCAGAAAGGCTGGTAATCTTTCATGCAAGTCCCACTAATTAAGACTACACATGCAAATATTTACTTCATTTATTTTATAAACCCACATAAGAAATGTCTTTATACTATACGATGGAAATTGAGGAGACAATAATGTACAGAATGCTTTGGGCAACATAAAAATACTGTTGACTGAGTGATAATGAAAAAAAAAAACAGGATGGTGTTGCTTTGGGCAGCTTAAGAGTTATTTTTTTGTTGTATAGTGATTATAAAAAAATTAACTAGACATATGCTAATTTGTTTTCTCTTCAGACAAACTTAGTAATAATTTTACAATAGTTTAAGTTTCCATCTTTCATAATTATGAAATCTTTTCTCACAAGTTTTTCTTCTTTTGTCATGTTTTTCTTCTCTTCTGCCTTTGCCGTGTAGTATTCTGCTATTTCTTTAAAATTACACTTATTTAAGTCCACAATAACTTCCTTTTCCTCTGGGGTCATCACCTGTAAAAGAAAAGGTGTGTAAATAACATATCAAGTAGATCAAAATTAAGTTTTCTTTCTTTTTAATTGCTGATCTCAACCTTGTATGTATTGATCGCAGTAGTAGTACAAAGATTTCATTAATGGAAGAATGCATGATTATTTTCATGTTAGTTTTTGAACAGACTGTTCAAAAGAAAGTAAACGTTGGTTAAACCTTCACTTTATGAACTGTTAACAAAATGTCAGACTATTAACTGTTTCTTTTGTTGTTTTATACACAGACTGAAGATACCCGAACGTTATCATTCAATCACTGACAAGCACCAATCTACCATATATTATAACAAAAACAAAAAAACAATTCCCAAACCAAAGCAGACATTTCAAATTCATGCACCCAAAATCAGTAAAAAGAAGATCTACCAGAAACATATACGACTTATCCAGAAAATTTTTAAAAAGAATTTTCTTTTTCAACTGTTAGCTTGTCTACAACTTCTCATAATAAACAAAACCAAAACCCTTTAATATTAAATTGAGCCATAAGTTGAAGAATATGAAACATCTTCAACATGCATCAGTGGAAAAACATCTTAACTGATATGAACCAAAGTGAAATATACAAGAAAAAAAAATATTCACACAGATCTGGAAAGTTTTTTTTTTTTTTTTTTTAACAGTTTCTTTACATTTTCTTTTCATTCCTGAAAATGCAGTTATGTTAAGTTTGTTTGAAAGTTATAATAATATTCCAATATTCAGGTAAGCAGAATTAGGTTTAGACAAAATGATACTAATGGCAAAATATTCTTGTGACTCAAATTGTTATCTACTACGGCTAAAAAACAGACAATACTGACAGAATCGTACTAAAAAAAAACAAAAACAAACAAAACACTTGACTGCTATATCTGATCTGGAAAAAAAATTATTTGGCTAAACACTACAGCAGCATCCACATCATTAAAACAACCGAAATCATTTTACTTGTCATTAAAATTATAATTATGTTCTGGACTTTACTCTGCTATAAATAAATTCTGTCTTTCAATCTGTTCTGGACCAGTGACCACCTTCAGGTCTTCAGATGTTGCCCACCCGTATATCAAATTTTAAAATTTAAGTTCAAATAATATATTAACTCCATCTTAGAATTGGTATTTTGTAACATTTATTTGGTATAATTCGCAAAGAAAGATGTAAAAATTGTTCAAACTTTGTTTCTCTACATCTCTGATGCATTTATGGATTTTTTTTTTTTAGAATTTTTTTGCCCCTCTCAAACTGAGAAACTATCACCCTTCAAAGAATACAACTTACTAAACCTTGTTTTTCTCTTAACTTCCCTTCTCTTTTTTAAATACAATTGGATAGAACAGGTTATAAACTATTTATGTCAGTGTGAATAAAGTGGTGTGAGAAGTAGCTTATGGTTTCGTGAGAAGATGATTAGTTACAGCAGATTTGACAGAAGACCCCCCCCCCCTTCGTTTAGGCTTTGGTCATTGTAACCCTCTCCCTCCTGCTATCTCTACGACGATGAAAAAATTCTTGATGTTTCTTGGCACAGTTCGACATAGTTCATAACAAAGGTGATATGTGCATTCTAAGACATCTCAAGGACTCAAAAAAAAATAAAAGTTAACTCAGTATTGACAGATCGTGACCTCCAAAGGAGGGGGGGAGGTAATGACCCATGGTTTGAGAAAATGTCCTGCAGAAAATAATAGAACTTAGTGTTGAAGTTTAAAAAACTTAGGAACAAACCAAAGATCTGGGATATTTTTTTTTGGCGTGTTCTTCTATGACAAGATATCAGATAAGCCATATTAGGTTTAGACCACGGTCTGGACCCATCAGGGTCTGGGACCAAGAGGTGGGGCTTGGGAAGAAAAATATGATGAAGAAAAAAAGGTAAGGCAAGAGAGAGAGAGAGAGAAACAAAGTTTAGTAATGGTAAAAGGGACTAAAGATGAGGTTAGTAATGGTAATGGTGGTGGGGTAGGAAGGGGGCATAGGTAAAAACAGTAGGATTACATTTGGAAATACAAGCTTTGAAAAAGAGAAAAATCGTGCCAAAACTGTGGTCAATAGGAGACATATGGGGGTGGGAGTGGGGCACTTAGTCTCTGAATTTCTATGATGTGCTCGCGATAGCGAAATATTTGGATTTATTGAATAATATTCTGACATTTGATCGCAATTCAAATAGGCAATGGTTTTCTTAATGTTCATGGATCATAGTTTTGAAAGGGTTAAAAAAGATTACCAACTGATGAAATAAAGAGCACAATGCCATACAATGAGCTATCTGTGCTCTACCCACCACAGGTATCAAAACCCAATTTTTGGTGTTGTAAGCCAGCAGATTTCCTACTGAGCTACTTGAGGGGCAAAACAATAAAAGCAAATTAATAAATATAAACCATTTTCACAAACCTTCCTCCAATCTTTGAAAAAGTTGGTGTTGAAGATGGTTTTTGTAACATATTCGTGGTCGAGCATCTTTGCATAAAATCCAGCCACCTCTTCAGTTTCCGGACTTAAGACCATGTGCTCGCCTGGTTGGAATATTGACTTAAAATTAATACAACAAAAAAGTTGAAACTGGGATACTAACCCAAAAGTATAACAATAACAAAACTGTGAAATATACATACAAAACTAATTCCTTTAATAATTAGAAACATTTCAAACTGATTTATAAAACTGCTGAAGATGGTTTTGCTTTCAGTAATTAGCCCATAAATATCAGTATTTAGTTTGAACCTATCAAGGTATATAGTCAGAGACACACACACACCACTCATTACTAGTTGTGGTTTGCAAACTGGACAATTTGGCATTTTTGTTTCTTGCCATTACAACAGAGTAAAGAACCGACTCATTTTCTTCGTAAGATTCACAGAAAATCACCCACCCCACCCATCACGGATTAGTTGGATCCACTGCAATATTGACAGTATCTTATTTTACTATAGAGTCTATAATAAAGGAATTTATGACCACCACCCCCAGTAATTTGCTACACAAGTAGTTAGATAAATTTAAAAATCCAGTGAATACAGACTCCCCCGCCTCAAGTAATTCTAGAATTACCAATACTGATTCTAACTGATACAAGTTTGTATTTGTAACGTCTACAACAAACCTAATGTATTTGTAACGTCTACAACAAACCTAATGTATTTGTAACGTCTACAACTAAACCTAATGTATTTGTAACGTCTACAACAAACCTAATGTATTTGTAACGTCTACAACTAACCTAATGTATTTGTAACGTCTACAACAAACCTAATGTATTTGTAACGTCTACAACAAACCTAATGTATTTGTAACGTCTACAACTAACCTAATGTATTTGTAATGTCTACAACAAACCTAATGTATTTGTAATGTCTACAACAAACCTAATGTATTTGTAATGTCTACAACAAACCTAATGTATTTGTAATGTCTACAACTAACCTAATGTATTTGTAATGTCTACAACTAACCTAATGTATTTGTAATGTCTACAACTAACCTAATGTATTTGTAATGTCTACAACTAACTTAATGTATTTGTAATGTCTACAACTAACCTAATGTATTTGTAATGTCTACAACTAACCTAATGTATTTGTAATGTCTACAACTAACCTAATGTATTTGTAATGTCTACAACTAACCTAATGTATTTGTAATGTCTACAACTAACCTAATCGTATGAATACAGTTTCAAAGCATTGTATTATTTTATTTGGAACAGTATTATTTTTCAAAACAACACCCAACACATTAAAGTTTTTCTGAATCAAGTTTAATATACGTATTCAACCAACTTAGAATACTACCTACCAGCATAATAAAACTTGACAGATTTTGGTAATAATTCATACGGTGGCGCAAGTACCGGACCGTTATGCTGAAGTGTCTTCCATTTCACACCTTCCGCATGCTTCTCTTCTTCCCACCTTTTCATTGTAAAATATAACAACAGAGGGCGATATACAAGGAAGGTGTCTTACTTTAGAAATGGAACGATTCATCTAATGTTCCACTAAAAGTTTAATAGCTCCAAAATAAGGTATGTTAATCGAGGTATCCAAACTACCACGAAAAATCTATCCTCAAAATATGAAGTTCTAAAGGCAATTACATGTTTATCTATTTAGTTTTCTCAGAATCCTTTCATAAAAACAAATATGCGACTACGACATTCAGAATAATCTACATTTGATATCAAACTACACTGAAATAATAAATGAATCCAGGACAGCTTAACCCTAAATCATCATAAATAAATAATAATAATATAATAAATTCAAAGCCAAGCTTTTAGAACAAACCATTTCCAAACTTCTTGTTCATCTTGTTTTTTTCTCTTCTTTGGGTTTTCAGTTTCACTGTTTTCCATTTTTTCCTTTTTAATTTTTTTGGAGGGCTAATGGAGACAGACCAATTTTTTAGAGGAATGACATAACTTTCATCTAATGGAAATCAGATAATTCCTTTACAAATTATTTCATAAAAATCACATAAATATTAACAGAAGCATAACAGAAACCTATATGCTAATAAAGAAGTTAACCATTTAATGATAAGACAAATAAATAGTGAAAGAATTTTTTTTTAACATAACTTGCTAGAAAAACCTCATTACAGAAATCATTGACCATTTTTGAAAAATAATTCCTGTCAAGAGCCTGTCTTGTACATTTCAGTAGTAGAGGCCAGAAATGTACAAGAGTTTAAGGACAAATAAATTATTTCTTGAAAAATAAATAAGGGTGGGTTTAAATTTGTACTTTTGTCCTGCAGAGTGGGTATGCAAGGGCAACCTTGAAGGACCAAGTGGTCCTTTGTTCTCTGTAGGTCTTTTTTATATAAAAAAAAAGCTATATACAAAGTTTATGTTTTAAACAATTTAACAGAGGTGTAGGAGGCAAATTAAAAATGGGGGGTAGTTATATTTGACCAAGCAAAGTGAGGGAACGTATGCCACAGGTACACCCATTACAACCAGGATCCAGGACTCGCCTCAGGGGTCCGGAAGCTCTTGAGTTTTGCATTCTTCTGTTTTTCCTGAGAGTAATTTTCCTAATTTTTAATAACATTGTTATTGGGAAGGATTTAAAAGTGGGGGGGAGAGTCTATCCCATCACTTTTTACTCCACTGCTCACTAATAGAAACTTACCTTTAAATCTTCATCTTCTGCTTTTCTCTTTCTGTTTTCTATATCTTTTTGATATTTCTTCTTTTCTGTTTTTACCTTCTCCTTCGAGTTATCAATCTCAGTTTTCTTAGCCTTGTGTGGTGCTCTATGTTTAATGAGTTAAGATTATAACACGATCTACATACACACTAGTCTTTCCCAGCTCGGTAATTTACCCCAATGAGATTTTCCTGTCATTTATTAATGTAGAAAAAAACACTAATTGAACATTTAATCTCCAAATAAAGGAGTTCAAACATGTTGATCTATAAATCATTTAACAAAGTAAATGAAATCTTAGAAATCATACAGTAAAAATCTAATCTATTGTTCTTAATGGCAGCTTTCGTATTAACCCTTATTATTGAGACAATAGCCGTTAAAACCCTCGGCATAATACAAAAGTACCAAGCAAATAAAACTGAATTTTAGAAATTTTTCTGTAAGTAATGGAAGGTAATTATACAAACATACAAGCAACATACATAAAAGAGTAATAAGAAACAGATGGTGAATTTAATAATAAAACATTAACACAGAATATAAAAAAGAAAAGTGATTCATTTGTACAATGGTACTGGTATTTTGTATTTGAGCCTTATTTTCATGTCCTGTATTAGTTACATCAATTCAGCCAAGTTGTTTGATTGCCTTTTGACCTCCTTATTCCACTATTCATGGTCCACTTCAATTTAAACTGTAGTAGAAATTTAGGTTTAAGATCTTTTGAGCCTCAACAAGAGTTTGGGGCCTGAAAGACAACCCAGGATGGTCAGAAACTTTAGTTTCTCTTCACCCCGCAAGGTGAAAATGTTTAAGCCAAAAGGATGTGGAAAAAAACCCTCTGGGCTTAATTTTGCTTGTACACTATGGGTGTGTTGTTGAGATGCAAGATGCCATACTGAAGTTGCCAGGAAAGCCGTGTCCACTTCAACTTTTGGTTTGATCACCTTTTCTCAACAGCTATTTACAAACAACTGCAAGTCCACCCAATGAGAAAACTTACTGTACTTATGGTAACGTAAACACTCGTGTTTACAGTAAGGTTATTTGCAAGATCTATACTTAACTGTCGTCTATGTCATCAAGAACATTCCCAAGGTATTCAACGTTACTTACATAGTTTGGTTGTTTTTTTACCTCAACCACTTCCATTATTAAAATTACCAGATTTACACACCCTTCTCAGTCTTCCTGGAAATTTTTGCGTGGAGTAACCTCAACCAATCAAAACTTCGCTTGTTATGCAGTATTTAAATTTTAAGAGCAATGACTAGATACGACTACAACCGGGAAAAGTAAGGTTTTAATGAGCTTTATAAAGGCGTGCAACTTCTATAACTGGTTAGTTAACAACCAATTCCAATGTAAGCTATCATCATGTGACTGTAACATAAGCATTTGCCTTGACATCCTCATCATTTCTATACTCAAACTTGTACAAATAACTCCATACCGTGCAATTAATGATTCATCATCCAAGTCATCATCTCTCTCCCTTTTAATTTTCACTTCTCTGGTTTTCTCAGCGATATTCTTCTTCCTTGTAGCCTATCAATAGAAGTTATACTGTCTTAGCTTATGTCTACCAACAGCTGTAAATTATTATACAGTGATGATAAAAACCATGGAACAGTGAAACTAAAATACAAGTCCAAAGAACTTAAATCTTTCAAATTTACTTTAAGTTTTTTTTAAACCAATATGCAAGTTACCTGAAGTAATGAAGTACCACAGACACAATGTACATAAATAAAACCATGTAATTGACCATTTTAAGCATAGCTTCAAACAGAATATTTATACTAAACACTAGTAAGGTCTTGTTTGGAGTACTTTATACAATTTTCATCGATTTCTCCAAAAATCATATCGACTTATTTGAGAGGGTTTAGAGGATGGCTACTAGAGTAATTCCAGGGATGGAATGGTTGTCTTATTGGGTTAAGATTTCTTTATCTTCTCTTGATGAAAGTAGAATAAGAGGTTAATTTACTGAAGTTTACAAGACTGATATGATGACAGGAGAAGAGAACACACGTGTAAGGTTTAGAAGAGATATACTAAGTTCCAGATATGACTATTTTTTTTAAAAGGTGATAAGGCTCGTTGAATGAAAGTAAAGGAGATTGGCACTTTATTGGAGTTTAAGAGGGGAAAAATGAATTTCTAAAAAATAAATGGTGGGTTTATAGTTTTATTTTTACTTTTCTTCAGAAGTGGGTGTGTAAAGTCAGCCTTTTAAGGACTAAATGGTCCTTTGTTGTCCATACTTCAACTCCAAAATTAATATGCCATGTTAAGTATAGGTACTATGGTCCTTTATTGTCCATATGTCAATTCCAAAATTAGTACACCATGTTAAGTATAGGTACTAACTGATAATGAAAAAAAAAGCCCACTGATTAATGCAGGTAATTTTAAACAACTTTATCCCATTGTCTCTCTTTAACCAAAAAAAGTTTTTTTCACAATATAAACTGGACAATTAGCTATTCGCTTAAATCAGCCCAAGTTTGATCTTAGGCCTAGCTCCTTCATCTGAAACTAGCAAATCAGCCCAAGTTTGATCTTAGGCCTAGCTCCTTCATCTGAAACTAGCAAAATGAGAAGGTTTTGATATAAGTGTAGCAATTAATAAACTATAGTGTTCTTTTCTTATTATAGATGATTAACTTAATTTGTGTAACCTTTAAAGGATCAGTATATATATATCTCCAAGAATGTATTTTTAACATGAATACCTACCCCCACCACTACTCTCTACAGTAAACTTCTTCGTGCATAAATATTAAAGAACTCTTCTTTCCCTAAGAACAGCACTTTGACTTTTATATTATACAGTGAGGAATTGTGTTTGTTTTTTTTTAGAATCAATTTAGTATTTGTTTTGCAAAATCAAAATAAATTTAAACTTCTTGCAAACTCTCCAAAATAATCATTTAACTTTCAATGGTAAGAAAAAAATCCTTTGAAATTTAACACTGAAATTTAAATAATAAACAATGCATTTCCACATTGCACTAAACATCCAAGAAAAACTTGCAGTAAAAAACTAGATTAGAAAACAAATTCAAGACAAAAATTTACCAGTACAGTATCTTAAATGATAAAAATGGTGACAGTATTCAACGCTTCAACAAATCTGACATCTAAATAGATAACAGTTGGAAGAATTACCATGTTTCCCCTTGTTAACACCTGAAGGTAGATTTTATCTTACAATAAAAAAAACACACAAAAATACAAATGTAACTATAGCAACTTCAAAACCGGGAACATTACTTTCAGCTTGAACTTTTTCTCTATAATTATAAAAGTTTTAGTTTTGTATGTTTTCCAATTTTAACTAAACATTATTCTTTACGAAAACTTATCCCGACATTCATCAATTCTAACATCAGCATTCCCACAATAGCTACTTACCAAGGGCACATCGTCATCACTTGCTGAACCCCCCAATTCTTGTTTTATTTTTATTTTCAGAGGACTTTCTTCTTTCACATCGTGGGAAGAATGATCTTTCTCATCCTTACATACAACCTCATCTTCCACTGCACAATATGCATCTCCTTCACTCTTTGATTCTTCAAATTCTTTCAATACAAATTCCTCTTCAAGTTCCCCCTCACTCTTATTCTTTTTCTTCTTCTTCTTTTTACGTTTTTCCCCACTACTTTTTTACTTTTCTTACTTGTACTTTTTACTTTTTCCAGTGAAGAATTGTGCTTATTTGACTTCTTACTGAGGTGTTTGTTGTCCGACTCTTCTGATTTGTGCTTTTCTTTTTTGGTTTTTTCATGTTCTTTCTTTGCTTTTATGTTGTCCATATTCTGATTTAGCTTTAAACCACCTTTAGTTTTTGAACTATTTTTTGATTTAAAGACATTTTCAGCACTATCAAGTTTTGAAGAAAAGCTATCACTAAACTTACACAAAGAATCTTTCGCATTATCAATGAAATCTTCAGTTTCCAAAACAGAAGAATTCGACCTATCCAGGCCTTCAGTTTTTTCTTTATGTTTAGAATAGTCACAGGAATTTGAAGATTTAGTCTCGGGTGAATTTTCCTTTGAGTTTAAAGAAAGTTTTGAATGCCCTTTATGCACATGGAGTTTACTGGAAGAACCGGTTTTATGTGAATGTACTCTGATGCTATTGTCTTTTGACTCGTCCGACTTACTAGGACTAGACAACTTAGATTTATTTTTGTGAGGCACATTATTAGATACATCTGCAGACAGTCCATTCGTTATTGGTTTCTGCATCCCATTAAGGTCATCTAAAGAAATTAACGAAAAGTTAAAATCTCATGTATTAGAAAAAGACAGCATTCAAAACAAGACAACATTGGTTTCAAATCTTAGAAATTATGAATATTACAGAAAAAACAACAACAGAGGATCAAAGATCAGCTGGCTAAAACCAACCAATAATGATATAATAACTATTCATGCATAAATGTAAACTGATTATATTCATAAACATACTTGAAAAGGTCTTTAGGAGACTCAAAGTAACTTCACAACAACAATCGTAGAAAGAAAGAGGTAATTCTGTACTTCACAACAACAAACGTAGAAAGAAAGAGGTAATTCTGTACTTCACAACAACAATCGTAGAAAGAAAGAGGTAATTCTGTACTTCACAACAACAATCGTAGAAAGAAAGAGGTAATTCTGTACTTCACAACAACAATCGTAGAAAGAAAGAGGTAATTCTGTACTTCACAACAACAATCATAGAAAGAAAGAGGTAATTCTGTGAAACTTAGATCAAGGATTCTACGGCTTGTACCAGTAGTAAAGCATGTTAGAGTGGAGGTAAATACAAATCAGAAATACATTTTCAAAGAAAACATTAACTTCTGAAAAGGTACCACTTCATCTCACCCAAAGCTGGAATCACAGACTGGCAGGGTGGAGGCACCAGTAAAAGTGCACCAAAAGAATTGGTGTGCTAGAATATGAAAAGAAAGCACACCAGTTTGGTACAGCACTACTTCTGGAACAAGTCAGAATTTGGAAAACAGAAATATTTCTAAAACAAATGAGTAGAAATAATGGAAACCAAACATAAAAAGTCAAAACTTCAAATTGAAACTGATATAAATTTGTGATCAAGCACAATCAAAATTTTGTAGTCATGTGGAGGGAGTGTTAAAACACACGTCTAGAGCACCAATCGAGAAAGTCAGGATTGTTCTAAAATACTAGAGAGAGCTAGCTGCACCAGTATAGATGTCAAAATAAAAATTGCTGGAGATTAGTCACATGATCAGCACATGTTCTGAAAAGGTGCAAAACTGAGGAAGTATAAGAACTGGTCCACTGTAGGAAAAATGTTTAGAGAGAGTGTAGGTAGTACCATTTATTGTTGGTTACTTTATATCTGGAATTCTAATAGGCATGATTTCAAAACAACAAATAATGAAAAAAGTTATTCTGGTAAATAAAAAGCATGGTTTCAACATGCTATACTACACGTTACAGGATTTAAATAGTTAGACATTTTTAACTGCCATATTAATTCAACAAAATTTAAGTTTGCTGTCTGTCAAATATTTAAATAACTTATCCCAAGGTATCGATCAAAAATAGAACTTTGAAATTCAGAAAGAAAAAGTTGACTTACAAGTCCAATAATAAACGTACCACGTTCTTTCATGTTAAACAATTACAAGTTTAAATAAATACTTAGAATTCTATTAATTTTGTCAGCTCTAAATTTACTTTGAAGTTTTATTACTTTAAAAGCTCTATACCTTAAGAATTTAGGCATTAAATTTGTCCTCTTGCATTCTGTTTTTCCAAAAAAACAGACATTAAAAAAATTCATAATAGTATTATTTCCATGTCTTTCCAAGATATTCGAGTACTGAAACAAGTTTTGGAAAACTCGCCTTCAGAAACCCAAAGGAAATAATAAAAATGAGATTATCTAAAATAAAAACCTACCTAAAAATAATAAAAATTAAAAGCAATTTAATCTTTGAAAAATATGTAAACATATATACTACCATGGTCAAACATTGTAGATCCAAAATCAAACTTTGGTGCTACAGTAATATTAGTTGGTCCCTGGAAAAAAAAGAAAAGTTAAGAATTAAAAGCTTATATTTTATGGTAAGATAGAAGAGATATGAAGACACTGGAGTTAAGACTGCAGTAATGACACTGAAAAAATTGAAACTGAGTGCTTCTAACAGACTTATGTTAAAAAGACTAGTAAAATACAACTGTTGAATGGTTAAGTTACACCAACGTTTTAAAATTACAACAGTAACATTTTAAGGATTTTCCCAAGTTATTTCAAGTACAGAAATAAACATTTAACTTACTTTCCGAGCTGTGTACATAACTAACAGAAATAAGCCAGCTTAAAATTAAACATTTAAGTTCCAATAATAATTTATAAGGATTTTTGTTTGTTAAGTTTTCATCCAACAAAACCAATTTTTAAATACTTTTATAGATATGTAATTTAAAAACACGATTTCTAATACTAACTCACTACTGGTTTTTTTATCATACGTCAGATATCACTAACCTACTCATTCAGTTACTGCTAATATTAATATTACCACTATAACTTATAAGCAGCATTATTTCAATGGGGTAACAAAAAAGAATAACATATTAAATAACGATACTCACCTATTTTAAAGCCTAAAATGAGGGCATAACAGAAACTATAACTTATAAAATAAACGAAAAATCTGCAGTTCTAGGTGGTGAAAACAAATTTAATTTTAATAAGATAATCCGATAACTCCAAGTTAACACTGTCAAAATGTTACGTATAGAACAGTATACCGTATAGTCTCAGAAGTAATTTGTGCATTATGTTACGAACCAATAGTGGAACGCTCGTTTATAATCTTAAGGTTTTGTTTTTGGTCTTCGAACTGTATCACTGTATCAATATGACAATAACTAGTATAACTATCAGCGTTGTAACTTGTATTACTAAAGTCTAAAAAATCAATATTATAAATCATAATTGCAAGATATTCAGTGCTACACGCATAATAATGTAGACAAAATACAATAACATTCTTCAATTATACATGGTATACAATGCTAAAAAAAAGATATTCCATGCCTTACCTGATCCGCCAAAGTAAATTCAACCCCAAAAAACACTCATATCTTTAAACAGCCTTAAAATAATACCTGTCACATTCCTGACCTAAACCATAAAATCAAGCAATAACAACTTTAAATAACATACCTTTAGTTATAAACTTTTTTCAAGTCCCCAAAGAAACATTCTGCGCAGACGCTAAAACTCTAAACTTTCATAAAACCATTTTCCAAGAAATATTAAAAATAGCACGAAAATAACTAAAATACTTAAATAAACACAAAAGAATTGCGATTGTCATTATTATATTTAAAATTGTATTTAATTGTTTACTGCGCTTTCAATTAATTTAGCCTATTCTATGTTTCAGAAACTTTCAGTATGTTGTGTAATCTGGTTACCAAATACAATGCTGTGTAGTTTGCTTACTTTCCAATCAAATCTGTAAGCGAATAATTTTAATTTACAATCAACCTTAATTAGATATTTTACTGTTGTAAAATAACAGGCTAAAACTAAAATAAAAGATTCCTTACCTGATCCGCCAGAGTAAATCAATGGTAAAAGCACTCATTTCTTCAAATAGTTGAATTTTCACCAGTCACAGCCCTTATCTACATCGTGCCCCCCAGTGGCACAGCGATATGTCTGCGGACTTACAACGCTAGAAACCTGGTTTCGATGCCCGTTGTGGGCAGAACACAGATAGCCCATTGTGTAGCTTTGTGCTTAACTTCAAACAAATAAACAATCTACATCGTAAAATCATATGGTTTAAGACAAAAACTGTTATAGGTCCACAAAGAAGCATTCTGCGGAAACAGTTTTAGTAAGCCATTATGGCATAACGCACTAACCCAACACATAGCCAAACCAGCCAACCATACTGTAGTTTTAAATCACATGATTGTAGTCAAAACTTCAAATATAAATTGTTTTTTTTTTCTTCCTTTGGGCAAAAAGCTACATAAAGGACTATCTGTACTCTATCAGCCGCGGGGAATTAAACTCTGGGTTTTAGCATTGCAAGTCCGTAAATTGACCGCTGACCCACTGGGGTACAACTATAAATTGAACCACTGCATCATGGCTGTGTTGATCGTTAGCTAACAGGGTCAAAACATATTGGTTCAACTCATTGTGGAAGTTCTATTTACACATTTATTTGGGTCAATACGTTATGATACTGTTGGCTGTCGATATACTGGACCATAACGCATTGATGCAGCGTGTAGTCGAAATTTTGACTATGCATTACAGTTGTTTGTTGTTAAGCACAAAACTATATAATGAGCTGTCTGTGCTCTGCTTACCACAAGTATCGAAACCCGATTTTTGACGTCGTAAGCCTGCATATTTATTGATGAGCGCTGGAGGCTTATGTGTTATGTTTCCGATGATTTGGTATGAGCATAAAAAAAATAAACTTTCCTAATGCCAATTTTTTGAGAACCATTGAAAATAGAGTGAAAAATTAAACATTTAAAATAAATAAATACAAACACGTTATTATCTTACTTACTATACTTAAAATTTAATTTAACTTTTGACCACACACTCGGCTAATTTATTTCATGCTAAGTTTTGAAAGGGTTTTCTTAATGTTTCGTGACTTGGTTATAAAGATGGCTAAAGCCAAGATTACGTAGTTTGCTTACTTCTCAATGAAATCTATAAAAGTACACTTGTAACAAACAATGATTGAAAAAAAAGCTTTTAATTTATAGTCAACAACCAGAGTTAAACTAATCAAATGTTTTACAAACCAATATTTATATTTCCGTGATTGTTACTTACATATTTGAACATATTTTTCTGCAGAAATTTCTCTAGGGAGGGTCAAAGTTTACCGGGGGGGGGGGCAAAAGTCGTGTGAAATTGTGAATTGAATACATAACTAATATACATATGCTGAATGAATAGAGAAAGAATTATGTTTCTCATCTTCCAGTGGGGAGACAAGTGCTTCCTCCTGCGGACGCCCATGTAACTAGATGAGAAGTGGAGTTTCGTACATTTCCAGCATATAAGATGTCAAAGATGAAGGAATTATAGTTTTTGTTTACACAAATATTTAATGGCAGACATTAAATTATATAATTTTAAGCACACGACTTTGATTAGCAAGAGTTTGGGTGAAAAAAAAATCACATTAAAATCACCCAAAAAGAAAACCCAGTTATCTGAATTAATATTATCAACGAATGAACCCTGTGTGTGTATAAAATCACTCCATTTACCAAAAGGTGGATGATAAATAAAATAAAAAATATGAAATTATATAATTCAATATAATTGGTAACAATAATAAAATCGAAATTAAATTTATAATTTATGCAAGAACATGTATATATAACAGTTTCACCACGATGTCCAGAGGATCTACCAAAAACATCTACATTATAATTTAGTAATCGGGTGGAGACTTTTATTGACAACATCATGATTCAAGAAATATCAGATTTAAATGGACAATAACAAAATTAGTTATCACATCATCCATCTTAAACTTAATACTTCTAACATTTAAACTTATTAAATTAAGTTTGTTGTTCATTGTTAATCTCATCAACAGACTCCTCTTTACTCTGGGGTAAAAAAAAATATCCGAAAATTAAACTCTCAGGCCAAAATTCAGGAGAAATTTTTTTTTTCTGCTTTCAAAGACCATTCAAGTTTAACACAAAATGAAGTTGATCTTGTCATCCTTTTAGAAGTTGATATAATCATCCTTTTAGAAGTTGATCTAGTTGTCCTTTTAGAAGTTTATCTAGTCATCCTTTTAGAAGTTGATCTAGTCATCTTTTTAGAAGTTGATTTAATCATCCTTTTAGAAGTTTATCTAGTCATCCTTTTAGAAGTTGATCTAATCATCCTTTTAGAAGTTGATCTAGTCATTTTTTAGAAGTTATCTATTTATCCTTTTAGAAGATCAGTCATCCTTTTAGAAGTTGATCTAGTCATCCTTTTAGAAGTTGATCTAGTCATCCTTTTAGAAGTTAATCTAGTCATCCTTTTAGAAGTTGATCTAATCATCCTTTTAAAAGTTGATTTAATCATCCTTTTAGAAGTTGATCTAGTTGTCCTTTTAGAAGTTTATCTAATCATCCTTTTAGAAGTTTATCTAATCATCCTTTTAGAAGTTTATCTAATCATCCTTTTAGAAGTTGATCTAGTCATTTTTTAGAAGTTATCTATTTATCCTTTTATGATGATCAGTCATCCTTTTAGAAGTTTATTTAGTCATTATTTCAGAAGTGAGCTGCTCACCTCTGTTGACACTGAAACAGTTTCTTTCCAAAAATGATTCAATATCCATCTTCGTACTGTCTACTATACATCGACCAATGAACCATCTTTATTGTCTTTCTTTACACCTCGAGTTCGATTCTAGAACAAACTCTTTCCCAGGTTTATCTTGAACTTCATCGTCAGAAAGAGATCATAATGGACCCGCAAATCGGGTAACAAATTTTCAAAAAGTTTATATATATTATTCCTCTTTTGTTCACTATTCAATCTGTTAATTAACTTAATTGTTTAAATAACTTAGTTTTAACTGCAGCAGCATAACTTCTAAAATTGTTAGTTGTCTTTGGAATCAACCTCCATGTCCCACTTATTTTCCTGAATCTATCATATTATGAACATGAAGAGCCAGTCGTCACTGCATACATTCCTTTATTTCATTGCCACATAACTTAAGCAAATTCTTAAAACTGATACAAGTTCCAATTTACTTTCAATACTTCCAGAAAAGCTAGAAAAACTACTGTCATGATCAGTTAACGTACGCACATTGTTAATTATCGTATTTTTCGGAATATAAGACGCACCCTTATTTTGAAGACAAAGTTTTGGGGGAAAAAAGTACAGTCGCATTTG